GCAGTGCTGGAAAAAGATTGCTGGCTTAATTCACCGCTGTTCAATTCTGGGGACCCTCCTTCTTCAAGTAGTCACATGCTACATCATAGCCCAAGATGTTATTCACAAAGAGCCTGTGTGGACATAGTTTGCAAGCTAAGAACTCCTCCTAGCTGGCCAAGTGAAGTGAGGTCCCACACCCAATTTAATGCCATTTTTCCATTTGTCTGTCTCTACCTAAGAATGTGGTAACTTTTGAATGCCTCAGCCAACCAGTTCTGAGCTTCCAAGAAACATTCTATATATCTGTGGTCAGAACTCTATTGATTTTGGTGAATATTAGGAAACTGGAAAAGTCCGATTTCTACTGGAAAAAGTGAGGAGACCATCAAGCCCCCCTCAGCGTGCCCAATCAGTGTCATCGGCAGACAGGAATTTCTCTAGCTAATCCTCTTGTTGCCCACATCTACTAGAGACAGCAGCTTAATATTTTTGTATGGAATGATTTGCATTCTGGGATCCAACAGAAGAAAACAAGCTTTTGACAGGAATGTCAAACATAAAGCCCCCTGCCATCTAGACCTTGGTCCTGTCCTTGGGTTTGATCAGACCCACAAGGGGCACAGCAAGCACCCATGGCACAGGGCTGGTCTATAAGCCTGTCTAGGCCCTCTCCTCCTCCCCTGCCCCCAGCATACCAGATCTAGCTAGCACAGGACGTAGGGCTTTTCGCGGCACAGATCCCAGAACAGCCAGAATAGGTGTCAGGTACAGCAGTTTGCCCAGTGCAGCAGTCATGCTGAACATGGCAGTCAGGTGTGCGCCACATGTTATACCAGATCTGTGCTGTGCATGGCACTTGCAGATACCATGTGCAGCATGGTACTGGAGCTGCTGGAGCAGACGCTGCATGCAATGCAATCCAACTGGGGCAGCCACCATGTGCAGCATGACTGCACTCCAGACGCTGCCCCACACAGTGCTCATTCCAACCACTCCAGGATTCATGCTGCACTCAGTGCTAGTCCTACACTGATTGGAGCACCCCCAAGATCAGGTATGCTGGGGAAAGGAAAGGGGGAAAAAGATGAAGCTGTGGGTCCGATCTGGCCTGTGGACAGGCCCCATGACATTCATTCAGTCCATGGGGCCACAGGAGTTTGACATCCTTGCCTTAGACAAAAGGCTTTTAGGGGGGAGTCGAATCCAGGAAGGGGAACAGAATTAGAAGGAATAAAGGAGATCCCAGAAGGACAGAAAAGTTGGACCACAGACGTTGATGATAGATGGGGAGGGGGAGAAGAGAGAAAAACAGGAGTACAGAGAAGTACATAGAATGAGTAAAAGAGGAAATGATAATTTTTATAATCTTTATAAGGTGTGGAAGGAGGTAGAACCTGAAAACCTTATAAAGGTGATTATAAAAATTAGCATTTTATAGATAGGTAGGAGGACTGGGAATTGAGATTAAAATTTCCAATCACTTGTTACAGAAGGGGAGCAGGGGTGTCTGAGGTGCAAGAGAGGATGTAAACTTGTCAGATCAGGTAGGAAAAGGATGGGCTGTTAGTTTAATGATGGTAGAGAACAAAACAGCTCTTAATGAAGAAAGTTCAAGTGGGGGAGGGTCTGTAATCCTCTACGCTCTCCCCTACTCTGTTATGCCACCACCACTCCAAGCATTTCTTCTGGCATTATAGCACTGAAGGCAACAAAATTCTCTTCCAGCTACCTGTGCACTCTGCTGGCAGCAGCTTCGCATGCTGCTCTCCCCCTGGGTACAGAGCTTGGCCAACCTAAGCAAAGAAATCCACAACTATATTGTTTTTCCCTGAATTAGAATCAACTGTGTTAGTCATCTTCTCTCACTATGCTCCTAGGACAGGGTAGGAGGCAGTTCAGCTTGTGGTTCTGAGAGAAAAACTGGTAACTGTTGGGAAGCAACAAGTAGAGGAGCTAAGGTTAGAAGAAGGTTTTAAAAAAATCTGTGTTCAAGCTCTATTAGGTATATGGTGATTACAGGGCACCTTTTTATTTCTTTCCTTGGATGAGGAAGACTGGGAGGAGGTGGGAGGGACTGTGAATCATGGAGACTCCAAGAGAGAGATCTCTCATTAGAAAACATGAGAGATGTTTTCTCATGTTGCTCTTCACAAAGCAAAGAGTACAGAAGGAGAAAGGAGAGACCAAAGAATATGAGCAGCAAATAAAAAGGGATCTTTGTACTTGATTTCTCTGGTAATGGGCAAGAATTGAGAAGATATGACAGCGGGTCTTCTAGTTTTATGAATCAGCAGTTGTGGGAACACATTTTCTCCAGGTCTTTGCTACATACTGGATACATCTACTACATGTGTGCTTAACTGCACAGCAGATTAATTAACAGTGGAATAAAGTGTCACCATCTACACATGTGACACTATTAGGATGCAGTAAACCAATTTATGCTGGCATAAGATTGTACTGTCAGTTGCATAATTAACTGCAATTAAACATGTATAGAACTTGACTGTGGGCATAAATTGTATGTGGTCAGCCCAGCCAGCCAGGGGCTAAACTCCTGCCTGTCACCTAGCGACACAGCTCCATAGTTGCAGTACTCTCATGCCCCAGCCAGCCCCTCTGCTGAGGCATGTCACCACCCAGGTGAGCCCCTGCCAGCCCAGACCTGCTCTGCCCCAGTTCAAATTGCTGCTATCCTGGGCACATGTGTAGATGCTGTGCTTGGGAGTAGTTTACTCCAGCTCAAACTGCTCCAGAGTGTATTGCTTTGAATTTATTGCACATGTAGATACACCCACTGAGTTGCACTCTTCAGGCAAACAAAGCAACAGAGGGCCATTCTCTGTAGGCTCTATTCTTCAACCACAGGACACAAGAGAAACTCGTACTATATTTAACAGGAGCAATTTGTACTTTGCACCAGATGAACTGAATGTCAGGAATTCAAGTGGGACTGCACAAAGCATAAAACATGACAGAACTTAAACCCAGTAAGTTTGCTTCCTGCTGGAGAGGAAGCATCCTTTTAAGTATTACTAGGTTATAGCACATTGAAAGTCTTATCAGTATATTCAACCTATATCATCTGTCCTTGGAAGGAGGAGATAAATCTGTGAAAAACAGAATTTATCTTTCTCACTGTAATTCAATCAATGGCTGGATATCGATTTGCAATCAGAAGTAAAGTTTGAAATATAAAGAGGCAGTCACCTGAAGAGAGAGAATAAACTTTAAACCCCAAATTATGCATTTCTGGCCCCGTTACAAAGATTTACAAGATCATGCATTTACCCGGAACTGGGATGGTGTTTCTAGTGTGTTAAAATCTGAGGAGGAAGAAATTCCATCTTCCAGAGTCTCCAAAAATACTTTCTGGAAATCCAACATTTCTGGCAGGCTGCCAAACAAGGACTCCATCTGTATGAAAATCAAACAGGAGGACATGAAGCTGATAGCTCTATACCTCTACTAAATAGATGCCCTGAGAATACAGTCCAATGAGAGATGCCAGATATTAAAGAGGAATGCAGAAAATCAATTATTTTGAGTTTTTTAATAGTTTTGCCATGGGCTCAATAAAGAGAAAGTGGTTACAAAAGATGTCTAAAAAATGTTCCAGTCAGAAAAGCAATTACCATTAGAAAAATATGTGACTAATGTGCTAGAAAGAAAACACTTAAAAGATGTGTGTTCTATTGTTATGCTACTTGTTAGCTCCTTGTCATGTCCTCAGCAAAAGAAAAGTCCATATATCAGGGATTACAGAAAACACACAAAAGACTGAAAAGAACATCTCTTAACTATTGCCTCACCTCATCCTGGGTAAGGAAGGTCTCATTTTGAAGGGGATCTAAGTATAACTCAAAGAGGCAGCTTAAATCCTGGAAGAAACAAAGAATTTGCTCAAATAATTAACAGTTCAAAATCATTCTGTAAACAAAAACTGTGGATAGATGCAATTTTCAAGAAAATATTTCTGTTTCTTATAACAAAATCTCATACATACCCATAAGTGCTAAACCAATTTTCACTGTAAAGCCAAGCCAATCTCAACACGGTGCTTTAGTTTTGTAAGTAGATCTTTAGAGCCCCAAATTACAATGTGAAATGAAGTTATATTTTAGTACAGTGTGGTATAAGAAAGTTGTAGAAGATGGTTTTATGAAGAACACAAAAGTTCATAAATATCAACATCAAAACTCATAAGCATGCAGGTTAGATGAACAATAATAACTCTGTTAGACATTGGTAGTAACAATCACAATGATGTGTAATGTCTGTATAGCCTATAGGCATTAGACTGTTTTGTTATTTTGTCAGGGGAACATGATTAAGGGCTTTTCCAGTCATTTCTCCACAGAACTGACATTATTTTTGAAGACTTACTATACCACACCAAAGTGCGATGGCTGAATCATGGGTCAGTGCTGCAGGGCTTTGTGACCCTGAGGAAAAAAATGGCAGAATTTCTTACAGAGGGGGAAAGATGCGTGTCTTCTTGCAAACGCCACACTAAAGTTTTATGATTTGGCTGACCTGGGAGGTCTGGAGGACACCCCAACACATCTTAGCCATTTTGATAATAAATAGAAGATAAAAAGTATCTGATTCGAATCCATGAAGCCATTTGTATTTTGGGGACCAAGTTTTATCTTGTGACAGCTGTCAGATAGATAAAACTATCTTGTTACAGAACATGTGCATATAGTCCTCCGTGAAAGTAAGTTTCTTGTGTCACAATGCTCTGTTTCTCACATAAGTGGGCACATTCAAAGATCTGATGACAATTTGATCCTTAATTAAAGTGATTTCTTTGCCAAAAAAAAAAAAAAAAAGAGCAGTTGGATGTGCTTGGTTATTATTTTTTGCTACACATCAAGCTTAAGCAAAACTGCTCAAGGATGCATAGCTGTAAATCACCTGGAATTGTAAAAGCAAATACATTAAGATATTTTCCTCCTAGTCTTTTACATGAGCATAATTCATGAATTACCTGCATCTAAGTGCATCTCTTTGGGAACCATTTTAGATTGGCAGTGGGGACTGAGAACGGGTTTCTTCCCTCTTGAAGGTCAGCAAAACTAAGTTTTACACAGGACTTTCAAATGTTAATGGTCATTACTACTTTTGAAATCCATCAATTTGTGTTTCTAAAAAGGGCCATGCACCCAACAAAACCATGGCTTTTTAAGAAAATAAAAAATGTCTGTTGTAATTCCACTGGCCACACTGAGCAATGCATCAGTTTCCATGATGAAGGGTTTCTTTCTAAGCAGAAGGGTTAAAAAGCTTAGATTTTGAAGAGCTGTGGAAAAATCCACTGGAGAACCCAGAACCCTCACCTACCACAGTTGTCCTGCGCACATACATTTCTACTTTCCTACATACATGCAGGGCAATGCTTCAAACTGCTTAGAATCTGAATTTTTATGAGTAAAAGCCTGCAAGGCTTTGCATTAGGAATAAGTCCACTGAAGGTAACAGAACTAGACATGTGGTACCAGGGCCACTTCATACAGAGGTAAGCTTTAGAACCACAGGATTATTTTAATCAATGATGTCAGAGCCCAACAGGAAACCTATAGCTACACAGGAAGTTGTTTCCACTACCTTTACATATGATTTCTCAGTATCCATAAGTTCTTGGATGACTTTCCGCAATCGATCTGCATCAGAGAGATGTCGTGCCAGTGGTTTCAGAGGTGGATCTTGACTGCCCTTTTGTCCTTCCATACCGTTTGCTTGGACTTCGGGAAAATTCCGGCACAGCGCTGTGATTTGTTCAGCACTCTGTCGGACACAAAAAGGGAGTGGGGCTCATTTAAAAATATAGGTACACAAGAAGTATTCATCTCTTTAGAATTTCCCATGTGAAGAAAGAATTCACATATTCATTCTTGCCCTTATTCTAAATTCAGTGGGTCACATCATGCCACTGATTTTTATTTTTATTTTTAAGAAAGTTGCTTTGAAGACGTAACGAGTCTTGGCAGGTGTTACATTTATCACACAGTTAACAAGTTAATTGCACCATGAATGGCAACCTGGAACACGTTCAGACAATTTATAGCACCATAAAATGGCAAACTAACCACAAAGATGTTCCACCAAATGGCTGGTTTTGTATAGTGCCTTAAACTGAATGTGTAGCAGACCCCAGTCTCCATGCTGCTAATGAGTTCATTGTCAGCATCGGGATTAGGAAAGGCCTGGCCTGGTCTGAGACCTAATTGTCATCAAGGAGGCTGGAGCTGCCCCAGTTCTTGAACTGGGTCTGCTGGTGCTTTCAACTTGCTAAATGGAGGAAGATGATTGATTCTCCCCATTCAGCATTTGCAGACCATGCATGGGGCAGCCCCATGCAGGGCTGTATTGTGCACAGCTTTCAATTTACTGGTGCACATCAAGTGTGGTTCCACACACGCTGGCAAGCTGAAAGAATGCCATTCTAATTGTGGCATCAGGCACTGGTGATTAGATGTTTAAACGGTGACTATCATGGAGGTCCGACAGCCTCTTTTGCATTTCCTGAAGAACCCTAGTCCGCAACGTTCTGATAATAAGCCTATGTTTTCCATTTCCTAGTTCTACCCTATTAGTCCTAGTTTTTCACCTCCTCATGCCATGCGCTAAGCAATTCTTCCTCCTAAATGCTTCTCTCTTTCAGATATTTATATTATAAATACTACCAGTCTTCTTCTGTAACACTAGGATTGATAAAAAGCATTTTACCGTATCTTATATCGAAGATGAACTCTTCAGCACATATCTGTAAAGAAACATTTCCCTAGTTGTTCTGAAATAAGGTCCTAATTCAGAAAGTCCCTTAAGATGTTAGTGGACTTTCAGAGGACATTAAGGCTGGTGTAATTACTCCATGAACTATTTCAAATAACGAAAGACTGAAAAAAAAAGTGATATCTTTCTATTCCAGAGCCTCCTCAGGCTACTCTTCAGCACAGCTCAGACCCTAGCCCAGCATATGTAGCCAGATGCCCTAAGCAATAATCTTAGGATATAATCAATACAGAAACTACAAAGGTCTAGCACTTTATGGTATCAGCAAATGGAGAAATACATTTTTTCCTGAAGTTTAGGGAAGTATTTTCTAAATGCTAGAACTCTACCACTTTTCCTATAAGAAGTAGGCTGTATGTGCAACATAACTATACTGGCAGCATCAAATTCCAACCAAACATATATACTTTGCTAACATCTAGGTAAGTGAAAATAAACATGTCAAATACTTGCAGTGCCTCCAGATTAAAATGTATGAGTTTCTAGTCACCAATTATTATTCCCCAAGAAAACTTACTGTGACTTGCATCACTATCACTAGCACAAGAGCATCTTTGTTCTCTACAATCCCATTTAATGACAACTCTCAGGCCTATGGAATCTAGTTATAGGGCATGTTTAATGCACAAGGCAAAACTCAACAAAACAAGCTAAACAGCAACAAAACACAAGATAATAGTTGCCCCGTAAGGGCAACTCTTGAAATTATGGCTTTATCTTACATCAAGAATTCACACACACATTTGTGTAACATTAAAAAAGTGTTTTTGAAATTAATCATATTTTCATTTTAGAGTCAGATTTTTATTTTAACAACCTTTATAAGATGATGGATTTCCAAAGTGTTTGCTTCCTTTGTTTCTGTTTTCAGCGTTTCATATTTGTGCCATAATGATTCAGCCTTTAGGGCAAGGGTGGGGCAAGGTTTGTGTGGGTGGCCCTAACTGACATCCACAAGAGCACAATCATTGATCAAGGACATGAGCTAGCCCTTCAGTGAAGGCACCAGTAAACAACAGCACTGCTCTGGAAGAACACATGTAAAGTAAGTAACAGTCCTTGTTACAAGATGGTATTTAAATGCCAAAACCAAATATGGTCCCTTTGGTTACCTCCAGGAAATGGAGGGTGTTGCAGCATTTTCTGGAAAGATTTTGGAAGGCATTTTCCTTTCTTATTACCCAGTTGGGAACCTTCTCCAATATTCATTTTGGCTCCTTTATTCTTCACCTTATGCTTGCCCCAGTCTTCCACTTGTACACCTAATAATCTCCCACTTTTCATTAACATTTCTACTTAATCGTACACTTTGTTGATTACTCAAAATAAGTCTGCCATATCAAGACTGGTCCTTCAAGTATGATATAGTATGGTCTATAGAGGATAACATAAGTTAATGTACATTTTCCTGGTTCAAGTCAATATATTCAAAGCCACCTTGGAGTTTTGGGTACCAAATTCTCAAAGGAGACTATGGCAGCCAACTTCCTTAGACAGAACAGATCATCTCTGCTTCTGCAATAAGCTCTGGGGTTCCCAATTTTCTTCCTTTATGTTTGTATATCAGCCCAGTAGTCAGCATTCACTAAGTGGTAATAATGCTGAGCTTTACAGTGTGCTTTTATTTGAATCAAAATATGTAATTGGTTAAAAAAACGGTTGCAAAAACAGCAATTCAGATTATCTGGATGCAGTCAGATCCCCAGATTGAGGCACCCTGGATACAGCACCAGGTTTGGACAGAGCAGAAGGTAGATGACTTGTGCCTTTCAGGAGCTTATTTATTTCACCCTTTGGCCTAATTTGCAGTCTTGTACAGATAGCTTTAATTTGCCTTATGCAATGCACTCTGACCTAGGCTGCAGATCTGTCCCATGACATCTAAAAACCTAAATGATGCTAGATTATAATGGTCATGTCAGACAAGGCAATGAGAATTTATCTAGGGTCTATATCCATGTACTCTGCAAGTCTAAAGTAGAATCAAGTTAGGATGAACTGTTTCTTGTTTAATCTGACCATTACATTTCAACATGGAGGCATATAACACTTCCACCAACTCACTGGTCCTTTTGAGCAGTCTGGAAGGGAATGTAGCCATGACCCTGGTCCCTCTCACCCATTTGCTACCCTTCTAGTGAGGTAGAAAGGAGCACACAAGCTGATATTTGTTAACAATTTGTAAGCTCTCACACACTGGGGGCAGAGATTCCTTTCACTTGAAGGCTGTTGCTCACATCATGATTCTATATGAGGCTTTTGTTTGTTTCTTTTTTTTTTTTTAAATGATAATATCATTTTCCCTATATTTTGGACACAGTATTCTCTATAAACAGGAAATCCTGTGAAAATAATGTTAGGGGAATTTTCTCTGTGCAAAACCAGAGTAATCCAATACTTAGCATGGTTAGTTTGGGCACATGTAGATATTAACAGGGTTGTCTACATTATAACTCAACTGAGAACTAAACAAAATACAATTAAGAAAATGCACTTTGAGAACATCCTTTTTAAAGTGAAGAAAGAACACCCTTGCTAGAGAGGTATTATTAACCTTCCATTTTACTTTGCCTCTTGGCACACATGAACATCACAGTCCGTGACTAGGCTATCCCTCACGGAGTTAAAATACTAGGTAAAATTAATCAGAGGGAGCACACAACTTTAAATCAAAACTAGTTAAGCAGCAGCACAGCAATTTCATGGCTGCCCCATGACCCACTGCAACTTGTTGAATGATTTTGATTGAGTAGCGATGCTGCACAAAGTTAATTAGTTTTACCTTCTCTCTGCTCAATGCTGCTTAATTTTATAATTTCTCATTTATGCATCCCATGCACTTCAAACCCTGCCCTGCCAGCTAGACAGCATTTACTTAAAAGTGACAGAAAGGATTATTTTGAGTAGGCTTAGAACATTCTTCATTTTAAGAAAATTCCTCGGAAAGGTTAAAAAAAAGTGTGTAATATACATAATTTGATTACTTTTCAGAATAACATTCCCTTAAATTAAATGGCTACACCTTGCAGGGAGGTCATTAATCCTTTGATTTTTGTATCTGTTGACGAAGCATGTCAAGTTGTCATAAAGAAGAAAGAAAATGACACTTAACTCTTTCAGTGTCAGTTCTTTTTTGGTTAGCTGGTATCTCTGCATTAGCTGAAGAACCTGTAGCTTTTTATTTTCTGGAAACATGACTGGATTTACATCACTGCGGATCCAGTTGCCTTAGAAACTAACTCCCTACTGGACAGGGATAGGCCCAGCTTTCTTAAGTCTTTGGAGTCCTTTCTTCTCCACCTCCTCCCTCTCCCCTTCCTGAATACAAAATTATTCCTTATCAAAGCCATTTTGAAATAAGAAGCTACAACTTGCAACTTTTCCTAAGGGACAGGTAGACACCAAAACAGAATCCTGTAGGCAACCACTTCTCACTGAGGGAAAAAATGGTCTTTAATTTCCCTCTATGCTGTACATGGAGATACAGTATACACTATCCAATATCATTCTTTTTGCCAAAATTCTGAGAAACACCAGCATTTTCATTAGAAACCGATATACTAGGCTTCTGAATCGAGGCCATTAATAATTCACAGATTCATAGACTGTAAGCCAGGAAGGAACCTTGGAAGATCAGTGGGTCCAGCCCCCTGCACCAAGCAGCCTGTCCAGTCTCCTTTTGAAGATTTCCAGGGTAGGTGACTGCACCACCTCTGGAGGGAGCTTATTGCACAGTCTGGACACCCTAGTTGTGAAGTAGTTTTTCCTAATGTTGAGCCTGAAATGATCGTCCAGGAGTTTGTGACGATTGCTCCTACTTTTCCCCAAGGGTACCCTGGTGAACCCTTGATGTACAGCTCTGATGCAGCGGTAAGGTGCTACCAAGTTCCCTCTTAGCTTTCTTTTTTTCAGGCTGAAGAGTCCCAGATCCCTCAACCTTTCCTTGTATGGCTTCCTATGCGAGTCTCTGATCATACGGGTGGTCCTTCTCT